TCCCCCAGGGAGAATCACCGCCCGGAGGCTCCTCCTCGCCCACGCGCGGGACTGCCCATGCCGACTGTGCCGGCCAGGACGTGGGGAGGGGGCAGCTGGGTCTCGGGAGAAAGACCAGGAAGTCAGCTCGCCTGGCGACAGCGTGGCGGGTCCTAAGCTCCCAGCGTGCTGGGGGCCGGGCCGGTGCCAACCCCGGTCGTCTCGTCTCTTAGTGACAGAAACGGCCCAGCCCTGCCAAGCTTGCCCACTGCCGCATGACTTTTCTACTTCTTCCTTTGAACCAGGCCGCCACCCTCATCCTCCCACCCCTCCACCTAGAACAAGGAAGGGACCCACAGGGGAGGGGACCCAGGTTGACAGAGCCTGGCCGCAAAGGATAAAAAAAAAGTAAAAAAATAAGCCTGGATTTGTCTGAGTGCATAGTGCATGAGAACTAAAGGCCTTTGGTACACAGGAACCGTGGGGACAGTGGGCAGAGGGCAAGGCAGTGGCCTCATGGGACTGGAAAGAGGCTGCTATAGATGAAGTGGCCGATGACCAGGGCCAGCATCTCAGAGGTCCCGCTCAGTGCCACAATGAAGAAAAAAGTAAAAAAATAAGCCTGGATTTGTCTGAGTGCATAGTGCATGAGAACTAAAGGCCTTTGGTACACAGGAACCGTGGGGACAGTGGGCAGAGGGCAAGGCAGTGGCCTCATGGGACTGGAAAGAGGCTGCTATAGATGAAGTGGCCGATGACCAGGGCCAGCATCTCAGAGGTCCCGCTCAGTGCCACAATGAAGGGGGCCTGAGAGGCGTAGTCTGCTTGGAGGCGGCGCAGGGACAGCTGCAGCATGGCCAGGGCCAGCAGGCTGTTCTGCACCCCCACCTCAAGGCTGACTGTCCGCCGCTGCGCCACCGGCAGCCTCAGGCAGATAGCAAGGCAGTAGCCTACCAGGAGGCCGACCAGGGGCACTGTGAGGCCCACTAGGACGATGGGCAGCCTGACTCCTACCAGGATGAAGACCCCCATGCGGTAGGCCAGGAAGAGGCCGCCCAGCAGCAGCATGAAGCTGAAGGGCTTGATGACCTGCAGCAGCAACTGAGAGAACTTGGGAAGCTTGAACTTGATCACCATGCCCACCACTATGGGGATGGCAATGAACAGCAAGGTCCCCAGGATCTTGGAGACCGGCACGTGCAGTGTTTCGTGAATGCTGAGCAGGCGGCTGTAGATGGCCGAGGACAGTGGCAGGAGCCCAGTGGCGGCCACCGTTGAGATGAAAGTCATGGAGATGGCCAGCGTGATGTCCCCTCCGAGAAGAAGGCTGAAGAGGTAGCTGCCCCCACCACCAGGTGACGAGCAGGTAATGATGAGGCCCAGAGCCAGGGTGTTGGGCAGCATGAAGACCTTGGCCATCAGGAAGGCATAGAAGGGCATGACCAGAAACTGGCCCAGGAGGCCCAGCAGCACGGGCTGGGGGCTCTGCAGGAGCCCCTTGAGGACCTCAAGTTCCACTTTGCACCCAAATGAACACTTGTTGACGAAGATGAGTGGCAAGAGCACGTAGAGGATTGGGTTCTCCGAGAAGTGGGCCAGGCTGGCAGTGAGCTGGGCTGGGGCATCTTCGGCTGGCAAGACCTTAATGCAGAAATCTCTCCGCTCCTCGATCAGCACGGGTGGGGCCTCATGAAGGTCCACGAGCTGGATGCGGAGTGGCGCCAGCCCAGCCAGGCCAGAGTGGATGCTCACCACGAAGCCACCCCCACTACCCCATGTTATGGCACTCACGTTCTTGATGGTCAGCACTTCTGTGTCCAGGGATGTAACCTTCAGTGTAGGGCCAGGCCCGGTCCCATTGGCCTGGCCTGGGTACTGGCTTGAGATCACAATGATGCCCTCACTATCCTCGGGAAACTCAAACTCCACCACAGAGCCATCTCCAATACTCAGGTAGCGGCCCCTTGCCAGGGGCACGGTGTGGCCCAGAGCAGTGCTGAGGTCGGCTGGAGCAATGCCCTGGGCGCACAGTGGCAGGCTCAGAAGTAGCAGGGTGGTTCCCAGCATGGTCAGGGGACCAGAACACCCTCCCTCCTGGCCTGGGCCTGGCAGCTGCCGCCGGGCGCCCCTGCCTCTCCTGCATACCATAGCTCTCGCCAGAGGATGGGGTGCCCAGACCTCTGCAGCTCAGGAGAGCGCCCCTGCTGGTGCCGTAGGCTCCTCCTGAGAAGGATCCATAGGCTGTGCTGGTTCGGTGCTGCCTGCCTCGAGGGCAAGGCTCTCCCTGAGGGTGGGGACACAGAAGGATGGCTGGTGAAGGTAAGCGGCTGTGAGCCCAGGACCCCAGGTATCTGCAAGCCCCCCACTGGGGGACTGAGCAAGACCCTTACCCCAAGCTCAGACATGGAAAAACAATGTCTAGTGCTGGCCCTCAGTGCAGCTCAGCTGTCCCCTCCTCTGGCATGGCTGTGTCCAGCCTCCCAGCCCTGGGGTGGAGTGGGGTGGGGTGGATATAGCTCTGTGTTTCTAATCAGCCTGCCCGCACTTGCTTGCTTTCCTGGGCTTGTCCACCATGGGGTCTTTTGGGGATGCTCTCATACAAGGGACTCAGGAGAGCCACTTACAGTCCTATCACCACTTAACTCATTCTCTACTGGCTACAAGATCCAGGTACATATGGGTACAGAGTACATGCCTGTCATCCCAGCACTCAGGAGGTGGAGGCAGGAGGACTGCAAGTTCAAACCCAGCCTGGGCAACTTAGCAAGACCCTGTCTCAGAACAAAAATATAAAGGGCCAAGGATTTAGCTCAGTGGCACTGTGCCTGCTTTGCAAGTGCAAGATCCTGAGTTCGATCCTCGGTGCTGAGAAAAACAAACACACAAACAAACCAAAAATATAAACAAAAGGGCTGGAGATGTAGCTCAGTATGTAGGCGGGCTCTGGATTCAATCTCCAGGACTGAAACAAAAGCAAAACAAAAAACAAGGTATAGCAGGGCTGCGGCAATTCCACAGTTGGGTAAAATCTCTCCAGGAGTTCCAGGATGGACAAGGGGACCTGCTTGTGGAGGACACAGGGACATGGGGTGCTGATGGGCCAAGGCCAGGTCCAGAAGGCCTCTGGAGAGCAGATGAGGTGACACTGCTGGGGACACTGGCCTGCCCCATGGTGATGAGATGGGGTCCTGGGAGGAAGTAGGTCCACCCTCTCAGGGGAAGTTTCCAGAACTGGGTCAAAGAGCATCACAGGGTCCCTGGGGCTTGCCCTTCTCTGGCGGCCTCAGAATCTAAGCACCTGGAGATGTTCAGCCCATCCAATGGGCCCCTCAATGTGTGTCCTCCCAGCACCTCAAAACTCCCAGTGGGACTTGGGGGTTTCCAGAGGGCGGGATGGCCAGTCAGCACCCTGGTGTTACATCGGCTGCTGGAACTGGGGCAACCAGAACCCGAACACATTTTGATCTCTCTGCTGCCAGCTGACTTGACCTCTGCCCCCGGGTCCTGATCTTTGGCCCTGCCCACTCCCAACATCTGAGATTGAGGACAGGGTCAGCAAAAGGGTCATGCCTGGGATGCACCCCCCATGACAAGGCCCTGCTGGCCTGGGCTTCAGGTCACTTACCCTGGTCCAGCCTGTGTCTTGTGGCAGAAGGCTGAGGCCGGACAGGCAGGGTGGGTGGGAGAGGTCAAGTGAGGGGGGGCGGTGCTGAGGAGCTGGCCTGAAGGGAGGCTGGTGTCTCTGCACGCTCGTCAAGTCTGTGCAGCAGGGCACGGGGCTTGGGCTCTGATGCCACCCGTATCTGCGTGCGGCTGGAAGAGTTTGAGCCAATGCAGTTCAAGGCAGAGGCAATGCCAGCCCCAGGCGTTTGCAAAGCGGCAGGTGTTTAGGGACTAGGGTGTGTGGCCCTGCGACCTGGGCTCCTCTCCAACGGGAGCCCGGAAGTTGTCAGGTGGGCACAAGCGGGGCTCGGGCACGAACTGGGAGGACGAAGGATTGGCGCATGACCCACCGGACGCCCCTCGAGCTGGGTGGGCTCTCGCAGCACCCCTGGGCCCCCGCAGGCCTCAAGGATGGGAGGCGGCCCTTCCCGGCCCGGTGTGGTCAGGCCGGACC